GAAGGAAAATTGGAGAGGAAAATATAAACAAAAATCAAACACAGAACACAGAATTTTAGGAGCTGTTCCCAGAAAATTCTTAAATAAATATTTTCCCCAAACACATATACAAAAGTTAATTTGCCTTTCTTTTTAAAAAAAGTCTGAAAAACTAACAGACTTATGAAATTATGAACGAACAGGCAATGAAAAGTGAGTCCAAGAGTTTGGGACTAAAAGAATTAAATGAAACTATCACAGAGGTGAAATTTTCATTCAAATCAGAAAAAGGCAAAATAGATATACATAAAAATATGGTCTAGGGCAAAGAAGACATGCTTTTTGTTCGTTTGTTGTTGACTTGAACTCACAACTTTGCGCTTGTCAGGCAGGCGCTGTGCTGCTGAGCTATTTCTGCAGCCAAAGAAGACAGGTTTGAAGAAGTAACAAAATGAAATAAGAGCACAAAGATAAATAATAAGAAAATAATAACAAGAAAAATAATAAGAAAAAAGCTGGTAAATAGAATGACATATAAATAATCTCTGTCTTGGAAGAAAATAATTTCTGGAATGGAAAAAAACTCAAATATGTAATTGAATAAATTTTCCTGAAACAAAGATTTCCATGTATAGATTGCAAAGACATGGCTTCACCAACACACTGAAAATGCTGATGAACACTGATTTGAAGACCTGTCTTGGAGAATGGTTTTGGGACAGCAGTTTGTAAGAAGCTATTCAGGCAAGAAATGAAGAGTATCTGAACCAAGACTATCTAATGAGAAAAACAGGAAGAAATGAGTTGAAGAATTATTTAGGATCCTGACCAATTGGAAGACCAGAATAGTGTAGCTAAGAGGCCACTTCTGCAATTAAGCAGCCTAGGTTTAGATCTCATCTCTATATGTCTATTCTTTATTATCTGTGTGACTTAATTTGCCTCTCTGTGCCTCAGTTTCCTTCATTTTAAAGTGAAAATAATAATGGCAACCCACATCACTGAAAAACTGTGGAAATTAGACAATACAAGTAGTTTGTTAGTATAGTGCCCTGTCCATATTCATTATTATTCATCATCATTATATTCCATTGACCTTGGCAATTCTCCAAAATGATAAAACCAAGAGAGAGGAAGAGAAAAAGATGATTCATAGGTTGAAGAATTAAACAATCACAGTAGTATCCACTAACAAGAATTCAGAGAAGGTAATAAAATAATTTCACAATTACTGTGGATTCATTTTGAACATTTCAAGATTTAAGGATTTTCCAGAAGATAGGCAGAAGCATCCTGTGGGCACCTAGAGTTCAGGAGCGCCATCAGGGCCATCAGTGACAATGGATATGTCTCTAATGTGAGGGCTGGATACAAGGTCTTTGTGATGTATGTGTTAAGAAAAGAAAGGGTTTATGGCAGGGCACAGGAAAAACACTGTTTGTGAAATATGTGGATGAATGACTCAGCCTTCATCCAAAGGAGGACCTGCAGGAGTGTGTGGAAGCATGAGCATAGCCATCTGCTGCTAAGGACAGCTGTGCAGCAGGACAAGAGGTCAGTGAGGAGCAGCTAATGACAGGATGGTCAGATTCCCATTCTCCAATGGAAGGAGGGCCTATCACACAATGGAAAGTAAAGAAGTGTAACAACACAAGTCACGATCTTTCTTTTTTCCAGCAATTGTTTAAAATACGCTGTATGTAGAAACAGGATAGAGAGACTGGCCCAGGATGGAAAATTTGAGGTAACATATGGCATGAAAAATTTACAACTTGACTATTTTTACCATAAAAAAAGTAGGAAATAATTTAAAATAGTCCATCTCAAGAGTTACCTGAAGGGTAGTATTGCGCCATGAGACATAATACCTGGACCTTGCTCCTGTCCCTATTGTCTATTGAGAGATTTTAATCCTAGTGAAATCTCTCACAGCATACACTGGAAAGCATTTCCTTGCATTTTTAAAAACTAATGAGAAGGAAGCTTGAATATACTGATTAACATGTAAGTGAGTAATTAGGAAAGAAAAGTTGAAAGATTATTGTTTTAATACCCTTTCAGCTACTCTAAAAGATTAAATAATTGATTATATAACAAGCTATATAAAGCACATGCCTTGGTCAAAGAAACATCAGTCTAATACCTGAATTTTCATACTTAGAATAAAAGTCCGAAAGATTTTGTTCCTCACCTAAATGGGCATTAAAATTCTCATATGGTGCACCACTTGCATAATAGACATTCAGAATTACTGCTTGCAAGCAGTTTATATATATATATATATATATATATATATATATATAAACTGATAAAAAAAACTATATATATATATATAGTTTTTTTTTTTTTTTATCGGTACCAGGGATCAAACTCACAATTGCCTGCTTGAAAGGCAGGCGCTTATGCCGCTGAGCTAAATCCCCAGCGCCTCAGTTTATATACTTTTGTCATCAACTAGTTTGTTGTACGTAAATTGCCTTAGACATAAACAAGTTTGCTGAGTGTGGTAGTATATGCTTATAATCCCAGCACTTGGGAGGCAGGAGGATCACTGAGTTCAAGACCAGCCTGGGCTATAAACTGAGCCCAAGGCCACTCTGAACTACATAACGAGACCATGTCTCAAAAAGACAAAAAAAAAAATTTTAAGTATAAACAGACAATCTCTTCAGTAATCATTTCACAGATAAGATTTATTAAACACCTCAATCATTATTCATAAAACATTGTGAATTAATAGCTACCTAAGGAATAAATAATTACTTTCACCTTTTCCAAAGAATCAGATGTAAATACATAAAAAAATATGCTTGGGAGGAGGACTGACGAGTCATTCAGTGGCAGGGTGCTCCCCTAATGTGTACAGGTCCTGGCTTCAATGTCCAGCACAGAAAAAAAAAAGTTGGGAAATGCAAATCAAAACTAGGAGATTCCATCTCACTCCAGTCAGACTGGCTATCATCAAGAATTTAAAAAAATACTGGCAAATTTACGGGGTGCGTGAGACACTTTAAATTGCTGGTGGGAAAATAAATTAGTGCCACTATTGTAGTGTGCAGGTTGTGACAGAAAAATGAAAAGGCGACAGTATGATGCCATGTTAAGATGCGCTCACCTCGCCTACTACATAGCTAAGCTATTAGACTTAGCCCTAACTGACCATACCAGAACTTAGAAATAGTCCAACCTGGCTCAGTCTGACTGCAACCATCTGGACTGCCGATACTCTCTGGCACGTAAATATAGCCTGTGTTCAAGGACTGTCCGACTGAGATAAACCCACCAAGGTCACACTTAGTTTCAATCACCTCCTCAGGCCCAGATCCTTCTCCTGGTTTATGATAAATAACTGCCCTAGCTAACCTGCTCGAAACAAATCTGCTTGACAACATATAACTTGATTCATATAATCAGTTATATAATAACCTGCTATCAACTTTGTACTTCTTACATACAAATCCTATATAAACTAAACCCACAGCTGGCTCAGGGCTGATGATTTGGACCTGGTTCCCACTGGCCCACTGGCTATAAAAGTTGCCTTCCAACTCTTTGATGTGGAGCATCTTCTTTTCAGATCTATACTGTGTTTCTGCAACAATTCCTCAAAAACTAAAAATAGAGCTACCATTTGATTTTAGCTATCCAACTCCCAAATCAGTTATCTAAATCAATTCTAGACTGCACATTATAGAGATACCTGCAGCATGTTTATTGCAGCATAGCTCACACTAGCCAATCTATGGAATCAGCATTGGTGCCCATCAACAGATGAACAGAGAAAATGCAGTATATATAAACCATGGAGAATATTATTACTCAGTCACAGGGAAGAATGCAATTGTCTCATCCACAACAACACTGAAGGATCTAGAAATCATCATGTTGAGTAAACTAAGTCAGACTCAGAAAGACAAATATTGCACATTCTCCTTAATATGTAGAATCCAAAAAACAATCAGGAAGTATAAAATACTGTTATGAGATGCAATATTATTAGATGGGAGTGGGGGGGTATAAAGATAGGTATTGGGGGATGAGTATGAGGAAAACCACACCTCATATACACCTTAAACTCTCTCCCATACACAAAAATGTGACACAGGGAAGGGTGGGGCAAGGGCAGTAATGGTGGGGGAAATGATCAAGGTGTGTAATATGCATGTATGAATCTGACACAATGAAACCTATTCACAGAAAAAAAATTGGTGATAAAAACATCCCACCATTACTTTAATTTTATCATTTGCTTATCTAGTCCTATGTAAGAATTATTTTAGATAAATATGAAGGCTGATTTTATTTTTCAGTAGGAAAAAAAGGTACATCAGAGTTTTGAGACAATAGAATAAATATAATTTTCTAGTGAATTGATTACTTTTGCTATATTGAAACTTATTAAAGGAATTGTTTGTACCTCTCTATAAATCTATGATTTTTCTGAAGATTACTTCTATGTATTTTTCTCAACTATGAATTGGTACTCTATCATTTGTACTGTGAGTGAAATGACTTCTTAATTCACGATGAATTACATCTGAAGCAAAACAAAGTTTGAAAAACACTTATCTGTTTGAATAGCACGTTGATGAGAAAACTCAATATGTTAGGATATTTTTATATCTGTACATTTCTCAGAGCAACAGTTTTTCTAACAAGATTTTAAAAACTTAAACGTGTGGGACTGAGGCTGTAACTCAGTGGTGCGGCACTTCCCTTCCGTAGCAATGCCTCCTACTTCAAAAACAAACATTTTGGGAAACGGGTAATGAATGAGAAACCAAACTAAAGCAAATGAAGGAAGTGAAAACGAAAAATAAAATAAGGGAAGAATTAATGTAAGAGTAGTAAGGTACATTTTATAAATAAAATTTATGATCCAAATTCTTGAGAGTAAATAAGAAGTCCCCAACATACTGCCCCAGGTTCTGGCTTCTTATGAACATCAACCACGAACAGGAAGAACGAGGAATAGATGAGTGAGCAGGCTGCCCAGAAGACAAAACTGAAAACCAGTCAGATTTTTAAAAATTATTTTTTATTTATTTATTTTTTTTTATCGGTACCAGGGATTGAACTCACGACCACGCGCTTGCAAGGCAGGTGCTTATGCCGCTGAGCTAAATCTCCAGCCCCAGATTTGTTTTTAGCAACAGCAAATCTTCAAGTTCCTTCTCTCTCCATTTGACATTCTCAAATCAAACCAGGCCGATGTTTTTTAAAATCAATGGTCATTCAAGAAAGAGTTCTTGGTAAGACCACACAGGCGTACCATCTCTGAAGAAAAACAAAGAAAATGAAAACCCTACCAAACTGTTAGAATGTGTAGGCAAAGAATCTGATAACTCAGGGCTGGGGGTTTAGCTCAGCGGCATAAGCACCTGCCTTGCAAGCAGGCAGTCATGAGTTCGATCCCTGGTACCGATAAAAAGGAAAAAGACAAAAAAAAAGAATCTGATAACTCTACAGCCCTATTTGTGATACAGTATTACTTCATAAATATGTAGGTTAAATGCAGGTACAAATGAATCTCAGAATAGTGTTCTCAGTAAATACGTTGAAATAAGCTGTTAGCTCTCTAATAACTAGTGATATAGATGGCATATACTTCATAATAATAGTAGGACACATTTGCTTTAATTTGGCTAAAGTAAAATACAACACATACACCTTTTTTGCCCTGCAACAATAATCCAATTATCATTATTTTTACATTTTAAACTACACTTTTGTTTTTCTGAAACCTATGCAATCAAAGCTTTATCAATTCGTTACTACTATCAATTAAATTTAAGAAAGTTGCATTATAAATACTATAACTTACTGTGTTTGAAGATGAGAGTACTAAAAATCTATTGATACACTTGGAAACCTGGCAAGTAGTTTGTTTACTTTTGTGACCTTATTTAATGCATAGTAAACTACACTGGATGCCTAAAACTCCCTATTTATTCTTAGCTCTATATATACATACTACTTTAATCAATTATTTAGCATCTTTTGTTCTAGTTCTTAGATTTTTCCACCTCACAACTCTCCAGTCTCCATTGTGTTATTTCCTGTTATGAAATAATTCAAAGTACTTTTTTTATTGTTGTCTTTCAAAGGCTGACCTCTGGTACGCGGGTTATTTCACAATGCTAGCTCCTTCCTGTCTGCACATTTACACACACACAAACACAGACACAGACACACACATAGCCCAGGTAGGAAGACACAGTTTGAAGTCTGAAAGCTTCCGACCACCTTTTCTCCTCCAGCCCAGCCCAGCCCAGCCCAGCCCAGCCCTGTGTCAGTGCTCTGCCTCCTGTACTGCCCCTCCTCACAAAGAGCCCAGTGTGGGCTGCACTCCACAGCTGCTGAGTAAGGGGCCTCCTTCTGCAGGCGCTGATCAACTCAGCAGCAAAGCAAGCGGAAGAGGCAGGCTGCGTCTCAGCTGGCAGGAACCTTTCTGGCACAACAATACTGCTGCTTCTTACAAGTTACATCCTGTCTGTAGTGGGCTGGCCCAACAAGGTTGTCTGTTGTGAATAATGTTGTCCAAAAGGTTTGTTGGAGTAGAGAAACAGGGGAAGATGTGAAATAGACTGTCAAAGGAGATGAAATGCAACCTGAAAAATTCCATATATACTTGGTCAAATAAATAAATCCTCATTTCTTTACTGAAATCTTGTTCTAGAACATAGCAATGTTAGCATATTCTAGAGACGGAAAACCTTTCTTCAGTGAAACATGATTAAATGAGAAGTATATGATTAAATACATTGAAGAGATTTTATACCTTGAAGTTCTAAATTCATAGCATAATTGCATGCACACTTACAGCAAACACGAACTGGGAGACTAGGTAAAGTTGAAAAGAGGTACCCAAATATTTTAGGTTTTTCAATCTATATACACATATTTCATGTTTTATGTATTTGAGTGCTTATTACTCTGATTCAGAATTAAATGACTTTCAATAATGTTTGTGGAATTGTTTTTTTCTAGCCTGAGAAGTAACTTACTAATGAAGAGGTGAAAAGTTGTTCCAATTTGCTAATAGTTCAAAGCATCATCTATTTTCTCAGGAAAATGTGCAGAAAGATTAATTCCAAATTTAAAATGTCAACACCCACAATTTAAAAGTCAAACTAAGTAACTATGCAGAATTAATCATTGAGATTTTTAAAATGTATATCCTGGCTGTATGTATAGGTTTTTGTTTTTGGAAAAGTGATATACCAAACTGAGCTGAAGTCTTCATTACAAAACGCTCTCCCAAATAATTTCTGAAGCCTATGGCAAAAACTTGATATAGATGATTAAATGTGTTGTCATGTTTGGATATTGTTTACAGTAAAAATATGATGAACACCTAGACTTTAAGACACTAATGCTTTAGCAACATGAACTTACATAAAACTGTATAAAGCTATCTTAAAGTACTATCCCTTTTCTAAAAAACAAAACAAAAAGCACACATCAGAGACAAAAAGAAGAAACAAATATTGAGTGACAGTACATGCCAGCTAGACACTAGGATAGACATTTCATATAATTTTGGTCATTTAACATTAGAGTCAGATAGACAATATTTAAAGGTTGTGGAGGTGTTGAACTACCTTTTCTTTCTCTGAAGCAGTATAACTCGTGACTCACATGTTCGTAATGCAAAGACTATTTGCTCTGTCTTCTGTTTCTCTTGCACAAGATTTTCTGGCTTTTAAAAGCCTTATTTCTTGATTCACCATCTGCCTGAGGCTCAATGTGAGGCATTCTCTGAAATACTGGTTTAGTATCTCAACACACCTTTCAAAATATTTCCAGTGCAGGCTACTCATTCGGTGTGCCAGATGTCCAGTGAGTCATTTTTCTCTTCCCAGTGAACTGAGCAGCATATCAAAGCCTCCTTTATCTTTCTGGGTGGATACAGAGTTATTAAGCTTAAATATGCCCTGTGCCAATAGACCTGAAGGTTGAGTTTAGTTATTAACTTGGTGAGCCTCCACCTAGTTAGCTATTCTAGGAAATAATTTGGTGAGTCAGGTGTTTTTACATTCATATTTCAGCAACCAGTAATCTAACCAGTAAGCTAAGTGTTACAGCTGAGGCTGAATGTTCTAGAAAATCTGCCATCACATTTACATTATTTTAAAAGCTTGGTACCTAACAGGAAAAGGTGTATTGTCAATAGGATTATTTTGGTTTGTTTTCTCTAAAAAAAAAACAAAAAAAAAAAAAACAAACAAACTTTGCTTTGTTTTGCTATAGAAGGTCAATAAGCATTTGTTCATTCTATTTTGGTGAAGCTGTGGGCTGTTATCAACTATAGAGCTGCGTCCTAACTTTGGAAGCACGGAAGTGGAAAATCCACAGAGAGCACCTCTGATGAGTACATGGGCCTCAAAACAAAGCTACCTTTCCCTCCTCACTCCTTGCCTGCCAGCGCACTGTGAGCACTGTGATCACACGCCTTTATCTCTACTAAGGAAAAGGCTTGATGCACTGTCATCTTCCTTACAGCAGCCTGTGGTGTGACCATGCTGGGTAACATCACTCCAGGACACTCCTCCCTCCAACCAGGCACACACCTGAGCTGAAGGAGACCGGGCCATGGAGGGTTTGAGGAAACAAAAACTGAACATCTCTACATTTTTCTACAGTGAGTAGAATAGATTCCTGCCTAGTTGAGAGGTAAGGACAGCACTAATTTATAAAACAACATGAGCAGGGCTACATTTTCTAGAATTTGAGACAGGAAGGAAATTTCATCATTAGGGAAAAAAACTTTAATCAAATAGTGGCTAATTTTTGCATTGAATTGCTTCAGTGCAATAGGTGCTAAGCCAAGCACTTTATATATTTTTGTTCACAACAAAGCTTATGCCAACTCCATAATGTTGCCATTATGTCACTGATGAAAAACTTCAAATAAGAACTTACCCATGGTCACACCATTGAGCCAAATATAGATGACTTTGTTTCAGTGTCTGTAAGAGCCAGACTATTCAATTAAATTTATATAGTAACTTATATAGTAACTAATTAAAAGAAAAAATGTGACTAGCATGTTATGGGCACATCTAAGCTGACATTTAGTTTTATTGTAACTACATAAAACTTGTTTGATATACATAAAATTTTATCATTTTATCATTTTGAACATCACAAGATGATAGTCGTCAGACAAGTTGTGAGAGCTCAGAGTATTCATCTCTCATTGAATTTCTCTCTATAAGTATTTAAAAGTTTGTATAGAAATAAGCTTATAAATAGGGGCTGGGGATTAGCTCAGCAGCATAAGTACCTGCCTTGCAAGCAGGCAGTCGCGAGTTTGATCCCAAATACCGGTAAAAACGAAAAAGACAAAAAAAAAACACAGATTACCTATGCAGAACTTTTTGCCATAATCGTTAAAATGTCATATGATAAAACTACATAGAAAAAACTTCTATATTTATTTTACGAAGTTGGTACAAATCTGATACCAATGGATGACAAGGGTAATGGGGGAAATGTGCAGAGGGGAGAAGAAAAAAAGTGAAAAGAAGAAAGGAAAGGAAAGGAAATTAAGCACTGATAAATATAGGTGGAAAATGTTAAACAAATCCTGCTAAATCAAACCCAAGAATATATTAAATAAAAATTTAACATCAAAGAAATTTTACCTCCATGATGGAAGTATGGTTTAACATAAGGGGCGATACATATAGCGCCTTTACAGATCAAAGATGGAAATAAAAAGAGATATCAGAGGAGTACTTAATAAATTGAAAGCCAATTACTGATTTTTAAGGTGCCTAAAGTAAATTAGAAGTAGACAGAGCTATCACTCAAATATGCAAGACAAACACTTTCATATTAGTTAAGAGAACACTAGCCTACTGTAAGACACAGACCCTTTTCAGCTTGACAAAAATACGTTGGAGTTTTTTGTTGCCACATCATCCGACCAGTGGTATTTTCTCTGTGCCTGCCAAAATAAATCATTTTTTAATAAATATCTTGTATATTGCCAAAACTCACATTTATTACTTTTATAATAAAAGAATTCATTAAGTTGACTTCAGACAGAATATTTGATTATCCTACTACTGTACTATGTTTAGCAAGTCTAAAAATAATAAACTATCTCTGAGGATTGAAAGAGCTATGTTTGAAATTCTTCTCAGGTGTCTAGAATTTCAATTTACATTTATTTTAATGTGTGTTTTTAATGAATTGCTTCATTAGATTAGATAAAACATGTGAAAATCAGGTATATTTACTGAAGCTTTCTTTGTGCAAAGCACCATGTGAAATATTAAAAAGACCAGAAAGGGCTTAAAGGATAGCTCAATGATAGAGCACTTGCCCAGCCTACATAGGCCCTGGGTCTAGCCAGCATTAGGGGGGAAAAAAAAGCAACAAATGATGCTTTCTGGCTCAAAGGCAGTTTTACAACTATAATTTATCCCAGGAAAAAACTCAATAGAAAATGAATACCTCTTATAAAATAGTACTGGGACTGGGGATGCAGCTCAGTGGTAGAGTGTTTATCTAGCATGGACAAGGTCCTGAGTTCATTCCCCAGTACCACCAAAAACCCAAAAAACAAAATTAAAAAAACCCAGTACATACGAAGCATTTCCAATTATTCCACAGGTACAAAGACTACTGACAAAATACTAACCTAGGTACTAAATCCACTTATTTATTTATTTTGTTGGTTTGTCTGTTTTTTGAGACAGGGTCTTGCTATGTAGTTCAGGGTAGGCTTGATCTAACTACGGAGCCCAGGCTGGCCTTGAAATCACATCAATCCTCCTGCTTCAGCCTCCCTGCTCTTTTCTGCTTAATGTAATATCCCAAGGAAATATCAAAAGCATACTAGAAAGCATAAAAGCAGTAAACTGAATAGAATTAAAGGTATCTTATATAAGAGAATCACAGACTAGTAGGATCTGTGACATAGCCCTGTTCTACAGAGCAGGAGAAACTGAGGACTGAGGGGATTACCTGTTGTTACGATTTGTATCCAGATGTCCTCCCAAAGCAAAAGCAGTCATAAGGTTTTTTTCAGAGGTGGCTGCATCTAGTGTGTGACGCTGTGATTAAGGGGGTATGACTAATAAATCAGTCCACTGACTGGTTTGGCACCACCCTAATCCTGGTAGTCTGCATAAATGGCTACCAGAAAGAGGCTTGTCCTCCCCTGTCGCTTTTGCTACCTTGTGGGAACCATGAACTGCTCTCCTCTGAGATGCCCCTGTAATGCCACCCTGTCTTGAAGCCAGCCAACTATGGACTGACACCTCTGCAAACCAGGAGCTAAATAAACCTTTCCCCCTTTAACTTTGGATATCTGCTATTTTACCTCAGCAAGGCAAGAAGAAACACTAAGACACATGTCTTGGCTAGAGTCAAACAGTTAGTGACAGCCCTACAGTTTGAATCTAGTCCTCCAGAATTCAATGATTCTTTCATTTAACCAAGTCAACAGGTAGAATAACAGACCTCCTTGGACAAAATAAAATACCCATTAAACATCTCTAATCCAGAAATCTGAAATATTCCACAATCTGAAATGTCTTTGAGCATGGACATTAAGCCACAAGCAGAAAGTTCCCCATCATGAAACCTTGTTTCTTACATAAAAGTAGTATTTAAAATGTTATATTAAATTACTTCCAGGGTCCATGTGTAGGGTGTGTATGAAACAAATGAATTTCATATTGAGACTTGGGTCTTCTCCCCAAGACATCTCAGTTTGTATATGCAAGTAATTAAAACTGTTTAATCTGAATCATTCGTGATCCCGAGCATTTGGCATAAAGGATACTCAGTCTGCATTAAGTACTTTCTATATTTAGGTATGGTCCATTCTAAGTCTTTTCTACTTTAAGAAAGTATCTCTGAGAGGAAGGAAAATTTTAGAAACATAGTTTACAACTTTAATCCCATCTATCTTCTTTCCTGACACTAAGATAAGGACAACCAAAAAATTACCTAGGAAACTGGAGGAATATCTTAGAAACCTTTGGCATCCATGACTAGTGTTAATGTGTGCAAGAAGGTACAGTAAATCTTAGACAGAAACAAGAAGGTAAGTCGAAATATACTCAGTTTATCTAAAGAAAATGTTAAGACAGAAAGTTGAGCAGGTGATAGGTTGAGGAGGGGCTTTAAAAATATAATGAACATCTACTCAAATCAAGATGGATTAACAAAGATTAGATTCATGGTTTTTCTCACACTACTTCCTGCCTAATGCTAAACACACACACACACCAGACAATCATGGGGTTTTTTTAAGGTTATTATGCAAGAAGAGACAGTATTTGAAAAACAGGAAACAGCGACATAAGTCATGCAACTGCATGGTGGAAGTGTTTCATCTGAGTATGGCAGTGGGGGTGGGGTGGGGACGAATCCTGTTGAGCTTCTTGAGTTGAGGTGATAGAGCTGGGAGTCCAGGGAAGTCATGAAATGTGGATTACAGAGTAAAGAATAGGAAAGGTATAACTACAGATTCCCAAGATCTGCCAATGGCCTTCCATAATTCTTTAGCTGAGTACTGAACAGTGAATGCATGTGAAAATAATACCTGAATCTGGGAAAGAAACACTGGCAAAGATTAAAGCAAACCTTCCCCAGAGTTCAAAGATCACTGGAATACTGTCTTTTTATGAGTGGAGAATATCATAATCTACAGGGCGTGATAGTGTTGCATATAAATATAAAGGTTGTGTCTAATACTGGGTACAAACTTTAGACTGAATGCTGCTCTTTTCAAAGTAAACAAGTAAGAACTGAAAAGATAAAATTGTTTCCAAGTAACTTAACTGTACCCCTGGAGCAGTTCAAGAATACAGGAATTCACTAATGTGCAAATCTCAAATAAAGCAAAATTTCTAATGCTTACCATCATATAAAAAATTATTAGACATCCAAAGAAAAGTAACCTTATTAAAATTCTCTTTGATAATCTTTTCTGTTAATAACTTGTCATTTTTATCACTTCTGAGTCAATGTCAACAGACTGAGTTTTTCCTTATGATTTAAAAATGTCTTACAAAAAAAAGTGCGGGAGAATAGGCTGATTTTTCCACAGGTGATACCGGGCTATTATCTGTTCTATACGGGAAATTGTAATACATGAAATAAAGAGTATACTGCATATAAATACAGCAGTGTAAGCAAACAGAACAATAGTGTGCTTAACAATGTAGCAACAGAAAACCTCTCCAAAACCAAACACAAAAGAGAATAATAATAAAAACATAAGGATAATTAAGCTGTAAGACTATCCCTACTGTTTAACCTGTGTATAAGTAAAACTCTTAAGGAAAAGAGAAAAATATTTGAAAAAAATAATGGCCAAAATGTTACAAAATTTGATGAAAA